AGGGCTGGGATCTGGCTAGCTCACATTCCGATGCGATCTACTTCCAAGCTCTTGCAGAAGAACAAGAAGCAGAGGCTGCCGAGGCCAGATGGCCAGGCCGCCGTGTCTGAGCAGCATGCGAACGAGTTCCAGAGCCGCATGGAGCAGTGCTTCGGGCGACTGGAAAGAATGCTGGACCAGGGCTGCGGTCAGAATGCCATCCAGGATGGTGGGCGAAGGGAGCTGCAGCTTGCTGCAGGCGCAAGTATCTTGCAAAGGAGGACTGCATGCTTCTTTTATCTTTTCCTTTGTTTTGCATCTGTATATACACAGCCCATGCATGCCTTTCCATTTGTATACCTGCTGCAGGACCCCTGGACGGAACTCCATCACAGGAGGCGAGCTGAGCAGCAGCAGTGCCGGGGTCGGCTTTGCTCTGGGCAACCCAGCCCAGCCGGTTTCGGCTGCGACACAGCAGACCTCGCCAGGGCGACAGTCGGCCTTGCAGCTAGCCCTGCCTCCAGCCGAAGAACCCGAAGCAACGGAGTCGCTCCCTGCCGAGAACGATCTCGAGGACGAAGCTTTGTTCAAGAAGCTCAAAGATCGCAAAGCTGGGATTCTGAAGAAGCCGGCCGCTGCAGCTGCAGCGAGTGGCCAAGGAAACTTGGCAAAGAACAAGACAAAAACGAATGGCCAAGGCCAAGATCCAAAGAAGAAGGGCAGCGGCAAAGGCAAAGGAAAGTCCAAGGACAAGAGTGCTTCGAAGAAAGGCCAAGGCAAAGCAAAGGAGCAGCAAGCCCAAGGCTCGCATGGAAAGCGGAAGTTCCAAATTGTCTGGGAGGACGGCTGCATCCAGAAGAACTATGCTTCTCGCATGTACAAGCGAGCCGGAACGTGGGCAAAGCAGCAAGGCTTCTCGGAGCAGCAAGTGGTAGAGTGCCAGCGAGAGGCCCACAGAGAGGCCATTCTGCTGTGGAAGAAGAAGAACGGCTGCTAAGCCAGCTGTGCAGGGCTCGAAAGCGATGCAATGCCAACCAACTTTTTGCTTCTGCTCATGTGTGTGTGCACACATGAGCATGTGCATCACCGACTTAATCGGCATGCTGCACAGATCACGATCATTTAATTCCATGCAGTTAATGGCTGCATCCCGACTCAAGATCGCATGAGAGACAGATGCGAGGACAAAAGCCGAAGCTTTTTTTGTATATATATGTATATATACACATATACATGCAGGGCATGCATGACATGGTGCTTTTTCATACAGTATATATATATATATATATATATATATATATATATATATATATATATGCGACCTGCTGTCGCCATGTGGCTCAAGTGCTGTGATAGAAAAAGTAGACTGCGAGTGCGTCGTGGCCACGGCCATCCTTATAAGCTCCTGCACACGTGCAGTTTCTGTGGGCCAAGGCCTGTGAAATGGGAGGAGCCTGCAGCCGCCGTTTGAGGATGGACCCGTGTGCAGGACCATGCACGGAATGCGGTGCCCCCAGTTGCTGCAGAGTGAAAAATGCACACCAGAACCACTGGTGTGCAAAATGCACAATCAAGTGGTACAACGAGAGGGATGTCCGTCGCAGCAACTACAGAAGGGCATGGAGGGAGTACGAATATATGAATATCGTGGAGTCCGGGGACGAGCATGCTCTCCCTACCGTGACCGAGCAGTCCTCTCCAGAGTATGAAGACAACTGGAATTCCCAGCAGGAAGTGGCTGAGGAAGAGGAGCATGAGGAAGAGGAGTCTGAAAACTCAGCAAGCTGAAAGCAAGCTTTCTTCCAGGCTACGGCCCCTTTTGCTGCAGGCATGCAGAATGGGATGCAGAAGGCTACGGCCTCCCATGTATATTATATATCTGCTGAAATGCAGCCGTTCTCAGGCTACGGCCTTAAACGAGTTTCTCTAGCCGGAAGACCGTGAACGACCGGCATGCAAAAAAAGACTTCTGTTTTGCAGGGTTCGGGTTTAGGGCTTGAGGCTTTTATGTTCAGGGCTTGGAAGGTTTAGACGTATAAGGGACCCCTTTATGTTACTTAGACTAACCCCCTTTTCTAAGCTATGCTAACCCCTATAGCTAAACCAACTTAACCCTTTACATTTGTTTGTAAACAGATAGCTAACCTCGTAAAGTATGTTAACCATTTACAAGCCACCGGTTCTTCCCAGTGGGCACGTCGTGGAGCTGCTCCTTGATCTCCGGCGTGGGGAGGTGGAGGACGCCCTGGGCGTCCTGCAGCATAGCCTGCGAACTGGCGATTGCCCGCCAGCCAGCGGTCCTCGGCGTCCTTGGGGGTGCGACCCCTGGCCGACTTGGCTGAGATGACCGCCGCGTCGGGCTGGGACATCACTACGTTCTCGAAGAGGAAGGCGAGGCGGCGCCCGGCGAGCAGGGCGCGGAGCTCGTCCATGAAGACGATGGCGTCCTGGAAAAGGCGCCCCCGATCACCCTCATGTCCGGCACGAGCGCCCACACGAGAAAAGTCCTGACATGGAGGCGCGGCCACCCACAGTATCATGGCCTCGCCGTTGGGGTCGCCTCCCGGATCAGCTTCGCCATCCTCCGGGGAGTCGTCCAGGAGCCCGCCTGCTGGTACTGGCCCTTGGCGGCGTCGGGCTGCTCCCACGACGCGGACCAGAGCCGTCCGACCCATAGTGCCCCGTTGCGTTTCCTGCCAGGCGTCGGACGACTGCCACTGGTTCTGTTTGGCCCCTTTGCCGCCTTTGGGCTCGCGCCTTTGCGGCCGCCCTTGGCCCCATTCTTGCCGCCCTTGCGGCCAGGGCGAATGCGCTTAGGCGGGGGCTCCACCCAAGAATCGTCGGCGTTGGAGTTCGTCTGGGTGGGCTGTGGCCTGCCCTTGGTCCGCCCGTCCGGGCGGGACGGGGCCACGGTGACCGGCTCGAGGTACGAGGAGACGTCCGCCATGATATCGGCGGCGGCGTCCTTAAAGGTCCTCTTCTGGCGGAGGTCGATGGCGAGGCGCATGTTAGCATTTTTGCCCCTCGCCCGGCAGTCCCACCAGGCGATGTAGGACTCGATGTCCTCCTCCGCGCCCAACTGGACCAGTATCCAAGCCCACTTGACGGCCTCGAGCCCGTCGCAAATGGCGATGACGGACTTGGGCTGCCACGGCCGCCTCTCCTCCGCCACCAGGTTTCCGCCCACCAGGTGGAGCGCAGCCGACGTGGCGGAGTCACGGCGCCCAGCGGCGAGGGGGGTTCAGCTCGTTGGCGGCGCGGCGGTCCAGGTCCTCTGGGAAAGGATCTCGCCCAGTGCTTGGGCGGTCCTGCCGGGGCCGTCGGAACGGTAAGGCGCCGCCCGGCGAAGGGGTGGGCGCAACCGGGCCCTGAGCCGCGGTCGGGGCCAGGGCGCCCAGGTGTTGGCGGCCGCCCCGTCGAGGCCGGGCCACAACTCTCAGTCGAAAAAGTCCGCTCCAGGGCGGTTCTTCGGCTGGCGGTAGCGCTCCCACCTCTCCTTAGCCGAGAGAGGCGTGCCGTCTGGCGATGGAGCGACCGGTTCTTGGTCCCATAGCCGCCGCGGCTGGAGACCCTGGGCGTCTCACTGGGCGGAACGCCCGCGCAGGCCGAGGACGGCTAGACGAAGCCGCCGCCGGCGCCGGAAAAGACGAAGAAGCCCTCGACGGTGTAGACGAGGAAGCCATGGCGGGATGCCCGCGGAGGCGCTTGGCGGTTGCCCTGCCGGTTTGGCTGGGGCCGGCAGCATCTCCCACAGCTAGGATGCGGAGCTGCAGCATCTCGTCGTAGGAGACGTCGAAGCCCATGGGCCCCATGCCGGCCAACGCCCGAAGGGCGTTCTCCTGATTGATTGCCCGACACTGCCGCTCGTAGGGCGTCGGCTTCCTCGGCTGGTGTGGCCACCGGTGGCGGGACAGTCCAAACAACCCGGACGGCTGGCTTGGCCGGTGCGTCCCCCGAAGATGCCGATACAGTAGGCGGCGGGGTTGCGGGCGGAGGCGGCGGCATCTGCCCCTTAGCCGTGGGCCAGCGAACAGAGGCGCCCGCTGGGCACAGCGCCCCAAAGGTCATGGGAACTGTCGTGTCGGGCGGGGCCTTGGGCAATGCGCCCGGGAAGCCGGCGAGATAGGCGTCCAGACCGGAATCGCCCTCCAGATCGGCGTCGTCATCATCAGGGACGGCGATGTGGGCCGCCGCCACAGGCTCCGTGCCCGATGGGGCGTCCTGCTGATGCATCGCCTCCTGGTCTGTCCAATACTGCCTGGCCTCGGCGACAGACGGCCCAGGGACCACAGAGGACGAAGCCTTAGAGAGGGGGCGAGCCACTCCTCCACGGGCACATCGCCCGGTGGACCAGTCGAGGATGCCGAAGGGACCTGCGGGGGCGATGGCGTAACCGACAATGCCGTGCCCGTCGGTGGCGTAGTCCCGGACGAAGACGGCGGCGACGAAATAGGCGGAGTCGCAGGCCCAGCGGCGGGCAGGGCAGCCGTACAGGCCGCAACCAGACGGGCCAGATCGCCCTCAGACAAGGCGCCAACCGCCGCGGTGAGCTCGGCGTCCACCGCCCCAGACACGAAGTTGGCGATGAACACATGGGCCTCGGTCTGCGTAGCCACATGTGTGCCGCCAGTGGCGGCGTGAATGCCCGGCGTGGGCGATGCAAAGCCGGCGACGATCTCTTCTTCCTCATCGCCCGACCAGGGGTCGGGCGCCCCAGCTCCCACTGCCGATGCTGCCGTGGCCGAGGGAGGCACCCAGTCGAGTGGAGTCCGCCCGAGAGGCGGAGGCGGCGGTGGCAGCGGCGAAATCAGCAGCCCCAGTCGACGACATGACCAGAGCACTGGGAGGCGAAGGGGCGAGAGGAGAACTGAAATTAGGCGATCGAGCCGGCAGACTGCGGTCGATCGCTAGCGCTTGTTCCTACTCGCACACGTGCGCTAAACCACAATCACGACCACAACAGCCGTACACAGCAGCCGATAGCCCTTGCGGAGGCTTCGAGATCTGCGGCTTAAACCTGCCTGCACACTGGACAGGGAGCTCAAAGCTGTCAAGCGGAATTCAGATCTGAAGACCGACTCGGCTGGAAAGCTGAATATTCCTTGGCTTGAAGCAGCCGTCGGCACGCGCAGGTTTGTACGACTGATATCAGCCAAGCCACGCTTCAGTGAAACCTGTGGATGCATGGGATAAGCACTCCCTCTTCTAACCCCCGATGTACTTCCTCGAAGCTGACCTTACCGCCTGCGGCTCGCCGTCCTTCACATTTACGACTCAAACTCATTGAGCAGTCAAGCAGCACGAGGAACGTCATCAACCATGAGGTTGGAAGATACTTCGGCATAAGTGGCATTGTAGAATGTTCGCGAAGCACCACCTCGACTGGGACTTTTTCTAAAGGTCGGAGGTGCATGTCCATCGCCGCACAGCAACAGCTCAAGCATGACTTTGCAGGTAGCCCGGTCAAGCCTATTCGAGCCGTGCGACCATCAACCTGGACATGCTTCTGGGTGGGCTTTGGCAGCTGCTGAACGCGAGAAAGCCAGAGCGCTGGCTGCCACTGTTGGCATGCAGAACGCACACCTCAGTCGTTCCGGCCTTGCCTTGAATGCCAACTCCAGTGGGTCCTCGTCGTAAGTAAGCTTTGTCCATCCATTTGCGGATCTGTAAAACGGTTGTTGAAGACCTTCTGCAGCGTCGTGCCAGTACCAAGTAGCCGCTGCGCAACAAGCACTTCAATCAACCACTGGCCTCCATCTTTTCGCAGGGAACTTTTCGTTCCGGGACCTATCCTCAGAAGCTGCGAAGAAAGGACCTGACCATGGGGCCCTCTGTTGTGGAAAGGACCTGTCTGATCTCTAACGGAAAATGCCGTCCGAAAGCAGGGTGCCCAACATCTGGCTCTGCGCAGCTCAAGCTAAGCAGGCAAACTAAGCTCGTCCAAGTTGATCGGACCATTACATGCCTTTGGGAACATGGTGATTCGTTGCGCACAGACGGCACGGCGATCTGAGCACAGCACGTAAGTTGCACGCAGAATGCGCGTGGCTACTTTGAGCCAACGCTGCAGAATGCAAAGGTGGCAGCATGGCTTCCGTCCATACAAACGGGAAAGTTTGCGGAAAAGTCAAAAGGTGAGCAGCAAAGCCCGTGAAACACGAGCAGTGCAGGCATAGCACGTGGAAAGGCTCATTGGTTGATGCGGGTCTGTGGTCGACCTGTGCAGATGGCGGAGCCGTGTCAACAAGCACGCTAGTGCAACTTCTGTGGTAAAAAAGGACCTCTGCTGTCTCGGAAGGACCTTACGATTTTGTGAGGAGCAACATCTGTAGCCCCAGCACTGTCCGTGACATACTGCGCCATCTTGTACATCTGAATATTAACATGTTCTGGCTGGCAGCTGCAACAAGCTGGCGGCTCGAAAATCTCAGGAGCGTACACTGGTCTGAAGCCGAAGCGCCTGCCACTGCGGTACACGTTCTGTAGTGGGATTTTTTCAGCACAGGCCGCAAGAGCAACAAGAAATCAAAGCCAACAGGAAGGCCAACATCAATGCGAAACGAGGGCGATCAGATCAAGAACATGAATACCATGGTTCCTGGAATGCCTCTCAGCATCAACCCCCCCACAACATCCACAAACACCATCATCACAAATCCCGTGCTGATGCTGGTACTCGTGCTGATGCTGCTGCTGGTGCTGCTGTTGCTGCTGCTGCTGCTGCTGCTGCCGCTGCTGCTGCCGGTGCTGCTGCCGGTGCTGCTGCTGAGGCTGCTGCTGGTGCTGGTGCTGCTGCTGCTGCTGCTGCTAGCGCTGCTGCTGGCGCTTCTGCTGCTGCTGCTGGCGCTGCTGCTGGTGCTGGTGCCGGTGCCGGTGCCAGTGCCGGTGCCGGTGCCAGTGCCGGTGCTGGTGCTGGTGGTACAGAGGAGGTGCTGGAGGTGCTGGTGGTGCCAGCGGTGCTGGTGGTGCTGGTAGCCTATTATGTGGAGGTGGTGGTGGTGCTGCTGCTGCTGGTGCTAGTGGCGGCAGACACACATCGCAACTAGTCGGCCAACCGGAAGGCAGAAACCAGTGTACAATCGGCAAACCTCTACCGTTTGGAGATCGCCACTACTGTGGCCACGCAGGCAGGCTGGAGCAGCGGGCCTTCTGTGGCATTTTGGACATGGCTTCCTACCGTAAACGCTGCAGAATTCCAGAGTGTTCGGGACGAGGTCAGGAGGATGTTAAACCTGCTGGATCCGCAAGGGGTCATGCTGAAGATGCTTGATTTTCTGAGCTTGTGAACCAAAGCTGGCGATACATGTCCACACGATAGTTCCGACAGGCATACTTGCTTGGCCACAGAAGCGCAACTTGGCATTGTCGCATATTTTCATGCAAGCCAGCTCTGCCTTGTTGTCTACGCGGACTCCTTGCGCTGGGCCTGCAGCAGCAAAGTTCTTAGCTCAAAAATGCACTGTCCGACATCCCGACACTCTTCAGACTGACTAGCCCCAAAATCCGCCGAGGCTGGCAGCCTGGGCGTTTTGTTCTGTGCAAGCCCTCCACAGCAACATCCAGTACCCCTTCTCACCGCCGAGCCGATCAACTGGTTTGTTGGCTTAAGGGGATTTCGCGGTCGGGCAGGCAGTCGGGCTAAGGCGGGGCAAGCATATTTCATCCCCATGCCAAGACCCACTGACACGTCTCCGTCTAATTTCTCATGCTCGGCACTGCATGATTGTCGACAGGTTCGTGGCAAATGCAGGGCAGCAGCAGGTATGGTGATCTGACGACTGGACTTGTACCCCAACGGCCTTTGCGACAGCGGATTAACCGAGGTTAAATCATGCACAGAGAGTTTGCAGAGAACGGGCCCACCACCGCTCATTGCCGCTTTTTCGCTCTTGCACACTAGTCTGTGGGAGCTTGTCTGCCGACCGCACCAAGACAACACGACTTCACTTCGCCCATTCCCCGATCAGTGAAAGCCTCGACAAGCTCCCTGTGCAGTCGGTCTCTCGCGGCATAAATGCCCTGCTTGTTCTTTGGACCTTTAGCATAAACTGTTTACAGCCTGACGAACCAAGATGGCTCCAAAAAACAAGTCTAAACTTGTTCGGCTTGGCCACACGTCAGATTTCATTGCAAGCACAGTATACGGTAAGTGTTTCTGAAGCAGAGGAAAAGGTGTAGTATAGGAATTCATCACAAATCGACATCGACAGCCTGCTCTCGTCAAAGCCTGCGAGTACCTCCCAGCGGCTCAGGACAAGTGCCACTTCCGGGGAGCTACAAGTAAAGGTGATTGAGCGCGTTCCAAGCAAATGCAGGAAATTCCGAGGAACGAAAAGCATGCCTGTAGTGTTCCTGCGCTTGCTTAACAAGCTCATGCGGCTGCAAGCCGCAGAGGGCAAGATGCACCCGAACTGGGCAACGGGACATCCACTTCGGATGAGGACATCCCATCCTCTTAAGTCTTTCTGGCACGCCTCGCTGGCGTCTCGCTATTGGCAAAAAAGTGCTCAGTCCCACCCGTCGTCCATGCCCATGCCGCCCATTCCGCCCATGCCGCCCATGCCGCCCGGGCCGCCTACAGGACTCAGAGAACACTGTGCTCTTCAAGCTACTGAAACGCTGAAACTGAGTCTTGCCTGCTGCCGGCTTCTCTTCGGGGATCTCGGTCACAAGACACTCCGTAGTTGTCATCAAAGAAGCCACCTGCAAAAAGGAAAGCCGAAATGTTGAAGCACTGCAGGATGTCAGTAGGCTTGGTACCGAGGCTGCATCGGCGAGAGCACATCTGACCACTTTGGTTGGATCCTGATGGCTGACGTGGACTCAAGAAAAATCCAGGTATCTCAACATGCAGCCACCAAATCCGCCGACTAGCTGGAGCGGTGCTGAAAATCAAAACTAATTGGAGAGCATTGCTTCCCATTGTGTCTCTGGCTTCCTGCAGGGGCCATCAAGCCTTTTGAGCATCTAAAGGAGCATCAGGACTTTACAAGATCGAAACGGCTCTTGTCTCGAGTTTACCAAAGTCGCTAGGGCATTCAATGCCAAAGAGCATGAGCAGCAAAGCACCCATGGTTTGCAGTGCCACAAGACACACACTCAGTCACTGGTGTTGTGCATCGCAAGTCAGTGTTGCCAGCACTTGCGTAAGTTCCACACGATGATGCCGTTGGCAATCATGTCAACATACCTCAACTTTCATGAGCTAAGTCGCACGTCTCTGACAAAATCATCGCGCCTATTACTCGCTCAAGAATGACGGGAGGGCACTGGCCAGTCTGCGCATTGTACCCAAGCCTTGATTGATAGCCAGGCTGTAGACGAAGCAAAATCGAAGCGAGCACAGAAGTACATCTGTCAAGGCGTTCCGGTTCTCATGCTGAGATGTGGGCTTTTCATCGCTCTGTTTCAGCAAGTATTCCACCACGACCGCCCCTTTGGAGACATCGCAAAAGTGGCCAACTCAAAGCTTCGGGCCATGCCTTCTTTCCCTGCGTTTTGGACGATGGACGTTAGTGGAACCTGGGAAGCCGCCAGCGTTGTTTTAGGGCTCGCAGGACTCGCAGATCAGCTACGGCTGCCTGCAAGGCCTGGCGGACGATGTCGCGGCCAACGTTGCGATCGAAGCCCCCGAGCTCCAGAGACTGGCCGTTTAGAGCCGAGTCCAAGAAAAGAGAGTCGGAAACTCTGCAGTGCGGCCTCCAGCTTCTTCGAGGCATAGAGGAGGGCGGTGCCGCCACCTGGCCTTGCTGGGGCCAGACTCTGTGAGCGTTGTTTTGAGTTGTCACAGATGCGACCAACAATTCCGGCTCAGCTGCTTACACGATGCCCTCCTCAACAGCCGCCTTTGTGGCGTTGAGAGCGTCGTTCAATCTATCCTGCAGTCTGAAAGCACTGGCAATGTGTATTCAGGATAGCTCGAACACTGGCCCAGCAAATCGTGTTGACCTAGAGACCTACAAAAGCCCCGAGCCTTCTAGCGGAATCATAGCCCCAGCAAGAGACAAACCTCTGCCCCGATTCCTTTTCCTACGTCAGTAGCACGTCCGATGCTTGCATGCAAAGACATCCACTCGGAGACAGCTTAGCACTTATATCAGAGTATCAAGTTTCAAGGTCTGACAATGTCTGGAACATCCAACCTCAGAAGTGTGCGCACGCGCTGGTGTGCAACTTTCTCAAGAAAATTTTGGGAGTGAATCCCCTAGCAGGCACTCGTCCTTGCTGTTCTGCCATGCTATCTTTACCGGCAGGCTGACCGAAACTACCCAGGATATGCATGGGTACTAGTGAGTGCTCGTCTTTGTCTAAGCAAAGCTCATGTCACCTCGCCAGCATACTCCACGAGCAACCACTACGAAACCTACTGATGGCAGGAGACCCTTGCTTGCAGTGTCCCCCCGGGCTAGCATGCATCCAACGTGGAGCGCGCTGGGGTTGTTCGGTTGGTGGCTGGGTACGTTCGACGTTCTCATCCGAAGTGCAAGAGTCCCTGAGCACCCTTCCATGTGCATAAAAGTGAAATGATGCGAGTTGAACCTCCCCTCACATGTAATCAAAGGATAGCAGTGGATAGCAGGAGGGGGGTGATGTTTGAATGGGGAGGTGTCCCTTCTTCCTTACCCGGCTGCATGTGTGACTGTCAGAATATATCCTGTGAATCTGAATCTGCCGGGCATGGACCTTTCAACTCAGACCAGCACTAGAGTCACAAGAGATCCCAATATCACACTGTGACTGTCGTCTGCGGCCTTCACTTCGGACACCTCCACTTCAGATGCGCCTCCCACCTGGCTCATGTAGCATACGTGCCTCGATCGAACCCTCGCTTGGCAGTCTTGGCTACAGAGCTGTGAAAGCCTTATGTTGAACTGCGGGTACAATGAGTCTTGGTTTTGATGTGCATGTCCGCTTGTGAAGCTTTCACAGATGAAGCTGCTCAAGACTCACGGTTAACA